AAAGAACACTAGAACAAACTTGAGCACCTATCAGTGCCAGTTTAAAAAAGAAAAAAGAGTCCTTATTTACTATCAAGACTATCCTAGCACTAAAGGAAATACGAATACTTTGTGGTCGGTGTAGGTATGCTGACTTACGGACTCTGGATGCAAATGTGTTTTGTCACAGGAAACCTCTGTTCACACTCCTCAAAGGTGAAGTCTTCATTTCACTGGAAGGCAAGAGTTTTGTCACAGGTGTTACTGGGTTAAAAATCATCCTTTATCTTCCTGTTGCCTTGTGAAAGTAACAAAAAACTAGCACTGTCACATAAAATGATTGATTCTTTGAATACTTTATGTAATAGTCTAGCCCTTATTTATTAGGGCTAACACTACACAGGCTAACCAGGTAAGATTTTTTTTATATCCTAATTCCTGTACCTGCTTTTAATTAAGAAATTTCCTTACACTCTCATGCACTGGTAGGTGACTTGGCAATTTGGCTTTGTAATGTTACTGTTAATTTGGTAGACTTTCTACACACTGACTCATTCTGTATCTTGCTCACTTATCCAGTGCTGAGTGGGCCAAGCAGTATTTTCAAGTCTGTCAGCTGCCAGGTTCTTAAGGCACACGATGATTGGTTTCTGAAACAAACACGTTAATTGCATGCTTTTATCTTGCCCCAATTTTACAACATATTTTTCCAAGCATAACTTACCTTACTTGTCAAGAGTACAAGCACAACTGTCCTGCTAAGAAGATGGTCAGCGATTATCTAGACAATGCATTTTTCTAGCATGTCTCTTTTCTTAGAAGGCCTTTTGAAAAAAGACAGAAATTTCAAGCCATCTCAAATCACTACTAGTGTTAAACAGAATAGTTTGTTTTCTAGATGTCTTAAAAAATTTAAAAAAAAAAAACAAGAAGCATTCCTGATAAGAACCTTCAATGCAGGAAATGTAAATATTCAGATAATTTCTGAACTTAATGCTGCAAGCAACACCAAACCAAGCACATGAATACACTGTTTCTTTCACTAAAAAGAAAGCCCATTTGTGCATTTCTAACAATGAGAAAGCTTTCATTTTGTCAATGAAATGCGCCTTTGTAGAAAACATACTATCCAGACCACAACAGGTTACCACCTCTTTTGAGTGTAATTCCTTTTCTAAAGGAAAATGGTTTTGGTTTTTAAATTCAGCCATCTACTTGAAAATGAAACAAATGTACAGTTAGTGGCCTAGGAGGCTAATATGGGTAACAAACATTCCATTTATGTTTCCTTACATGGTCATTCAGCAAAGGCCATTAGAATTTAACATAAAAGGTATCACCTCAGTAAATCCTGCAAGACATAACTAGACCATTACATACAGGAAAAGAAAATTTTTATGTATAAAAAAACAGGCACATATAAAAGTTTTAGGAAGTTAGTTGGTAAGTTTCGTGATTCATCAGTAGTAGTCAGCATGGATTCACCAAGGGAACGTCATGCTTGAGCAATCTGAAAAGCTGCTGTGGTGAAAAGACTAGCCGGTAGATGAGGAGAGAGCAGTACACATTGCCTACATAGACTTCAGCAAAGGCTTTGACACTGTCTCCCCTCAGATCCTCATAGACAAGCTGTTGATGTATGGGCTGGATGAGCAGTCAGCGAGGTGGACGGACAACTGGCTGACTGGCCAGGCCCAGGGGGTGGCGATCAGTGGAACAAAGCCTAGAGGTCAGTAACAAGCAGTGTACCCAAGGGGTCATTACTGGGTCCCATCCTGTGTAACATCTTCATGAATTATCTGGGTGATGGGACACCACATACCCTTGACAAGGCCACATACGACACAAAACCGGGAGGACTGGCTGATTAACAGTAGAGGGTCATGCTGCCATCCGTAGGGACCTCTGCAGGCTGGAGAAATAGGCCAATAGGAACCTCATGAAGTTCAACAAGGAGAGGTGCAAAGCTCTGCACCTGTGGAAGAACAAAGCCACACACTGATGTATGCTGCAGCCACCCAGCTGGAAAACACCTTTGCAGAAAAGCACCGGGCATCCTGGTGGACACCAAGTTGAACACGAGCCAGAAGTATGCCCTTGCCACAAAGGTGGCTAACAGTGTGACGGGCTGCATTAGGCAAAGTATCACCACCAGGCTGATGGAGGTGATCCTTCCCTTCCACTAAGCATGGGAGTACTGCATCCAGTTCTGGGCTTCTCGGTACGAGACACACAGACATACCTGAAGGTCCAACAAAGAGACCGGAGCATATCTCCTATGAGGAAAGGCTGAGGTAGCTAGGAGTATTTAACCTGGAGAAGGCTGAAGGGAGGGTGCAAAGAAGATAGAGCCAGGCTCTTGTCACTGGTGCCCAGTGACAGGACAAGAGGGAATGGCCACAAACTGAAACACAGGAGGTTCCGTCTGAACAGAAGGAAATACTTTTTTTTACTGTGAGGATAACTGAGCACCGGAACAGGTTGCTCAGAGAGGTGGCGCCTCCTTCCTTGGAGGTACTCAAAAGCCATCTGGACATGGTCCTGGCCAACAAGGTCTAGGGTGACCCTGCTTGAGCAGGGGTTTGGACACATGACTTCCAGAGGTTCCTTCCAACCTCAACCATTCTCTGATTCTGCGAAGAAATGAAAACACAGAAGTTTTGAAAAAGGTAAATTTTATTTTTTTTTTTTAAATATAAAAAGGTCATAAACTGCATAGAAATATGAAATCAGTCATCAATGTTACTCATTACTCATTTACACTTGACAATTCCCAGTAATATGACAGGAAGCAAGATGGGCTAACAATTGTCTACAATGTACATATTTACATTCAATTGAAGTATGCATGCACAATAATATTTTTAAATAAATCAAACACACTGATCAAAACAAAATCTGATTCAAAGTATATTTTATGTTTTACATAAAGTAAAAATAAAGTCTTCAAAACTTAAGTTCCTTGGATAAGACCAATTTTTATCTATCTAGATTTACAGATAAGTTAGCTCCAAAAGGAGTAAGAAATGTAAACATCAGATAGCATGGTAAAAATCTTAAGGAATAACAACTTTTCTCATAAAGTGCTAGCGTATGCTTTCAGCTTTATTTTCCAGATGTTAAAAATAGAATACTAATGTATAAAGACTTTCACAAGCTTCCCAGTTGTAATTTCAGTTCAGTAATATTTTTGCAGAATTTTAAAATGTAACAATTTTATAAACATTCTTTTCTACTTTTATCTGTTACAGCTTTTTGACATTTTCTTCTTTATCTTAAGTGAACTTTAACTTCTGAGTGTATATAAAATAGTTCGTATTTTTAATTTACCCAGTTCAAATTGGACTCCAAGCTGCTAGAAAAACCAAAAGGTTAGGTAAGACTCCAACTGGGGAAAGCCAAGGACTCTGAAAAGTAAGGGTATAAGGTACCTGAACACAATCCAACAACTGCCTCCAGCAAAGTCATTTTACAATTTTATATATATTATCAGTATCACTGAAAAAAGTTACATGAGAATTAATACATAGAGGAGACTCAGTGTGGTTCATTTACACCTAGGCATCTGAGCTTCAAATGTGCTGAATATATCCATTACCTCATTTTCACATGACATTAGGTCTTAGAAAACTTTTACTTCTTCTGACAAGCATATACCTGAAGGATAGCCTTACATGCCTTACACCTCAGTCAACTTTTCACTTGTCAACATGAGTGTCACCCAAAATAAAGACAACAGTCCTGAATTCCCCCATGCATTACAGTGATACCTTATATTGAAATCTACTTGTAAAAAACCTGTTCCTTCCTTGTGTGAAGAAAGATGAAATACAACCTTTCACCACTCATGATGTTCACACCTCAATCATATGTTGTTCCAAAACCTCAGTCTGCCTGACTATTGACAAGTCCACAAGCACACTTCAAAAAGATTATCAGATTGTGATATTTTATTACACAATCCAAATACAAATCAAAGATGATTAAGTCTAAGCTCTGAGGCGTGGAAAATCCCAAAAGTATTTTAAAGTGCCATTTACTTTCAAAATATTTCTAAGAGTTTTAATACATTCCCTATTCCAGCCTCAGTGTTACAATTACGGTTTTATCTTGTCAGTATTAATCTCAGGCTGTTAAGGCATGATTGGTATTTGCTCTAAGCCAAAACTTGACAAAGCCATTATTTCCTCAGAGCCTAGAAACAGGAAGCGGAAGGGATATAACTTAAAAAAATAACAAACCCACTAAACACACCAAATTTAAAGGCTTAAAACAAGTATTAGCTATTTTGTCTTCAAATACTAACACACTGCAGTCCATTTCTCAGAGTGGGCATGAAGCTAAGTTACTATGGATAGCAATAATTGACAGAAAGATGCACTGCACTTCTACATTGGAGGAGCATAATGAAAAACTTTTAATGGCAGCTTCAGCAGCAAAAATGGTTAATTTCAGTTTATTCAGTTACTACTTTAAAGAGACTTTCTGGTTTTAAGATGAGGAATAGGTCAATACATAGGATATTGCAGAGGGTTTATGAAAGCAAACTAACAAGTTTATCAAATATTCACATCAGCATGGGACCCTCATCCTCTTCAAATGTAACTTACTGATAAGCAGCAGAGAACCACTAGCACAAGAACTGACAATCTACCCATTTTCTATTAAAGCACTGCAGAGATCCAACACAGGAAAAACACAGAGAGTATGCATTATAATCCCTAAATGGACCAGATGTGTAAGGCAGAAACATTTCCTTAACTACTGACGATCCTAGAAAGAAAGCAGTTTTCCAAATGGTCCCAACAGATGTATCATATTCCCAAAACATACCAACTTTAGCTTCCATTTAAAGCGATGAGAATGGTCACAAATAAGCCCGGAAAGACAGCTCGATTCAGTTTCCCTGCTTAGACCAATTTCTTATTAAGGCTAGTCATAAAAGCATGCATGTATTCAACTGCTGTTTGGCAAAGCTTGAGTTTAAACAAACTCATTTGCAGGTTTTAGTTTGTTCACTCTGGCATCATTTTTGGACTAAAACTTGAAAAGTGCAAAAATATTTAATTTTATCTTCTTTAAAAAAAAAAATTTTATTGGTGCAACAACCCCACTTTCTCAGGAGTTAAATCCATTGCCAGCAATGGATAGAAAAGGAAGCACCAGCATAAAAGAATCAAAGTGCATTTCCAGTATGCCAATGCTGCACGAATTGGCAAGCCATAATCTTATATTCACCACAGGAATAGATTATGCTAAATTCATTTTATAAAAGTCTATATTACACATTAACATACAACGTCTGTCATGAAGTCTTGGGGATACTGCAATGAGTCATCAAAACGGAAACGTTTGGAGACTGTACTGCTGTCCTCTGGAATGTTTTCTTTGTCTTCCTTGTCGCTACAGGTACCGTTACAATTGGATTTTACATTCCGCTCTTCTGAGCATTTTGCTGTGTGTCCTGGCACCAGAGAAGAGCAACAAGTTTCTTCAGGGCTACACAAGAGTATGAACTCCCCTTGCTGCAACCACAAATGAGAAAGACAGGCCTCTGCTGTGGGTCTTTCCCTTTGAAAGACAAAAAGGTGAAGTTGCTTAAGGTAATTTCAGAAGTACTAAAAATGTAATTAAAATAGCTCTGACACATGCTAAGAAATCTTAAACAGAATTGACACTGAAAAGTTAATATTGCTGTTTTTCTACCACTACCATAGCTGCTCCAAAACACATTAGACTCTACCATAGTTAAGGTTAAGTATTGGCAACATGCATCTAATTATTAGTTGACAGTTTCCCCTACTGCTGAACATCAGAGCTTTTAAGCTTTTCATCAGAACAACGAACAGGTATTTCTCAGCCAGTATTCATAGCCCCTTGGAATGTCTTCAACACTGTATATAAGTACATGCACATGCTTGTGCTTTTGGAGTCCTATGTTTTATACAGACCACTGTAAACAGGTAAGCTAATGAATATTCAGTCATTAGGTTTTCAAGGAGGGCCAAATAACATGATGTCATCAACTCTTATCTGACATTTTGCAGTGTTTTACTCTTACTGAGGATATAATGAAGACTCTGAGATGCCCACAAGCAAGACAGCAAGTAGAGTAGTAACTATGACAGAATGTCAAACATCCCACAGGTTCACACTAACATTTATCAAAGCAGGCTCTTCATAATTGCTTCCCTCATGATACTATGTTTTTTGTGAATTATTCCAGATATTGACAGACCCTCCACGTGAGACGTTAAAATAGTTCTGTTCAGACACGAGTTTATATGGAGTCCTTATTTTGTCAAAGTAGGCACTTTATGTATATCATCTCCCATCATCGCCTCTGATCAAAGAACCTTTTTCTCAACGAAAAAATAGGATCACTCCTGCTTCCTGCAGGCTCTCTGAAGAAGACAGGGATTACTGTCTCACCACAAATGACAGTATCTAGCACTATAATTGATAACACCTGACCATGCCTAGTAGAACATGACAAACCGACTGTACTAAATATTACTCCCCCATACATACCTTCTAGGGTGGTGGGGTTTTTGTTTTGCTGGGGTTTTTTTTGTTTAGTTGTTTTTTTGAGGGGGGGGTCGTTTTGGTTTTTTGTTTTGGTTTTTTCCTGCATTTACTGGTGCAACAATTAAAAAATATCCAAATAAATATCCAAATAAAAAAATATACAAAAAGGTGGTACTTTTGATTGAGAACACTTTAAGAAGACTGAACATGGCAAAACACTATATATGTCTGAAGAACATATGCTCAGTCAGAAGACTGCCAAGTTTTATATAAAATGTATTAAAATAGATGCATTAAAAGTAAGTCAGGAAACAAGAAAGCACTGCATCAAAAAGACTGCATTTTGTCTCTCCAAATTCTGCAAGGTTAAATTATAGACAAGAATGTGACCTTTCTAGAACATATTTCCTCAGATTTGTTAATAATCTGTCCTCTGAATGAAAATATAAAGAAACTCAAAATATAAAACTCAAAGCACAAGCCTGACTACAGTAATAGCCAGAGAGTGAACCAAAGATCCTTTTCATACATTATGGAAAAGCATAAACCTACACTTTTCAATATCCAGCTGATAATACCAATGCATTGTGAAATGTCTGACTGATCCTATCAGTGGTATTAAGCTCCCAAATTAACATTTGCTTTTTCTAGGTGGTCCATAAACATAAAAGATAAGATTCTTGCCCAGAGGAGTTTGTTACTTACTCTGGATTTTTTATAAGAAGTTTTTGAATGAAGTCTCTGGCAGGCTGTGAAACTGATGAAAATGTTTCTTCTGAATAATCCACGTTTACTTGAGATATATTAAGGTAAGTTTCTTGATTATCAGCTCCCACAAATGGAGATTCTTGTGTCAGCAGCATGTATGAAATTACACCTATGTTCCTGAGATAAGAACACAATGTATAATCCTACTAGGATACCTAAACAATACACCCCCAATTTATTTATTGTTTATTATTTGCCATTATTATTATTTACTGTATGCAGATCAAACTTCCTGATGTACGCCACACTCGAAATTTAGAAACATGATGTGACATCTCAGTTTTATGTGATTCAAGTATGTACACACATGCACACACAAGGAAAGCTGTGTTTGTATCTCAATGAAGGGATTTTTGAAAATTGCTTACTTCCAATACCCTTTTCTTTCCATTGAGATTGTTAGGAAAAAGGAATGTATCACTTTTACACAGCCCATTCTTCGACATATCGCAATTCTGGATGACAGAACTGCAAAAAGATAGACTTTCTAATTTGCGTGTAAATAAAACCCCATCTTTCAATACAATTCTGGACGAAGTACCAAAGAATGAGATTTAGTCAACCTTCCTGTACAATCGACATCCAAGTTGTGTTACAGTATCCTCTTGCTGAGATGTTTTTCCCTAAGAACATGAACATGAGTAACACACATCATGATTTATTATAAATCTTAGATGGTTTCTTGATGCATAATAAAAATGGCTTTGTGATTGGATAGACCAAACTTTAGTACTAATTACAGTGTAGAAACATGCAGCTGCTGTGTTTGTCATTCTGAGTAGAGTGTCAATAGTTTGGTTTTGTGTCTTCCCACAAAAGCGGGCAAATAATAAGTGGTTAAAAAACATTCACGAACAGATTTAATTACTATTATGAGTTGAGAATTTCGATGGAGTAATTAGATTGCAGCAATTTTTAAAATGGAATTTTAATTATTTAGATACTCAAGAAGAGCATATGAATATTTTATGTTTTTAAGGAAACATCTCAAAACTAGACTTTACACTAATACAGCTCATGAAATTAATAGGCTACAAAGGTATACTTAATAAAGTTGTGGATTAGTTTAAGATACTTGTCTCTTTTTTATGACTCATTCCGCAGATACTGCTCGAACATAAGAAGCAGAAAGTTAAAATACTTACCATTTGTATAAAAAAATTACTTAATGATACAAAAGTGGGGAGGGACGAGTGTCCAAGAGTAGTTAATATCTGCAGCATGTCATCCAAGAGTAACTAATACCTAAAGTCATTGTTATTGTTCCCTTAGAACAGATACCTATACTCTGCACACTCAGAAGCCACACGCATTCCCTACTAGGTATGCAACAGACACATATACAGTAATTCCTGTAAGACCCAAGTTATATCCTGAGGGTTCCTTCCTCTCCCAGCTCTCCCTCTTTTGGTCAGCCCACCAACAGAAGGGTATTCTTGGAAGCCAGATAAAACTGCATCAGAGTCTGGATGTGGCCCCTAGATTAAGCATTTACGCCTACCTCAGTAAAATGAAGTAACATATACAACCTACCACATATCTGTAGCTGTGGTAACAGGATCGTAGTTTAAGATTTCTGGAGCTAGAGAAAGAGATGGGGAGAAGAAAACACTTTAATAGACATATTATTCAAGTGGCCTTGAACCATACACTACATTTCTGGCAGTTTTTTGCCAACCATTATTATAAGACTAAACATACAGTTTCAATAATCAAGTTTATTATTTTCAAGCCACAAAGGTGGAAAAAAGTTATTTCTGTTTGATTAGACACACCGATGCTTAATTGGTTCATACTAAAATGGCACCATATGGCCTAAAGTCTATTCTATCCAGGCCCCAAGATATTTTCTAATCAGATGCATGCACATAAAAGATTCTTCTAAGAGGTTTTCCAGTATACAGCTTTTTAAGGGGAATGCATAAAGCCTTCAGCATGTTAACACCACAAAGCAAGATGATCAAGCCAATTTTAGGATCAGCGGCTGTTAGCGTATGCTAGGTAGCAAGCTCCCTACAGATTGCAGTGCTCTTAGAAGTGAGTGCAGGCAAATCATGAAGGAAACTTGCCCCTCAGAGAGGTCCAAGTGTTAATGGCTATCTTTCCCTTTCCAAGGAATATTTTAATCCATTAAATAATCATATTAAACAGCATTTCTAATTCAAATAACGTTTCTTTGTGCATGCAAATGTTGGATTTCAACTCTAATCAAAAGAATTTAATAGCCAAAATTTCTTATTGATTTAACAGTCTGCATCACAGCAAATACTATAGCATGAAATCAGAGGTGCACTTATTGATATAATTTAGGATTTTTTTGGTGCAAGTATTTGTTGACTACTCTAAAGAAAGCTTAAAACATGTTGCCTTGTCCTGTTCTTCTTTCTCCAGTAATGACTGATAAGTTCATAAGCACATTACATGAACTGTTTCTGTTTTCTCAAAACCACACATCAGAAATTGTGAAGCAACTCTACCATACCTAGATACTCTGTTGTTCCCATGATCTGCCGCAGTTCACTAGAATTCTCAAGCTTCCGAGACATACCAAAATCTACAATTTTTACATCACCAAGAGGATTGATGCTGCTCAGCAAAATATTTTGCGGCTAGAATAGGAAAGATTTAATTCTCAATTAATAAAATACAAGATGCAAAAAACCCCAACATACTAAATGACATTGCAGTTTCTACTATGCAATACTTACTGCTAAATTTTATTAAAAAAAAATTATTTAATCTCCGATACACTCCTTTTTCTCCTCATCTTTGCTATGTATTTAACAAATGACTTTGACCATCATAACATTAAATTGAAGTTAAAATACTAAAATAAGAAGTCTGCTGCAGCCTCACCTTTAAATCAAGATGAACAATATTGTTTTCATGCAAGCAGCAAAGTCCTTCAAGTATTTGTCTTACAAGTCTTACAACATCCCTTTCACCAATTCTGTCATCCTGATCTGGGACACACAAGTCAAATATTTCTCCTCCAGCAGCACTGAAACACATTCAAGAACACTTACATATTAAGTTTGAATTTTCAAGCTTAAGTGAGGAAAAATTGTATATATAGCACCTATTTATGTAATATATATTCATATTCTCAGAGAGGCTGGGAATATTATTATAATTTTTTTTTTTTAAACACACACACTTATCACACTTATGCCAAGACACATCATATAAGCACTAACAAAAGAAAAAAAAAAATCTGATTTCTTTCCTCATAGCCAGCAACAGCAGTTGAGACAGTGAAACAGAACTTTGTGGCTGACAATCTCACAATGCTTTGGTACCCTCAAGCATGGTTTCCTCTAAGTGGGTGTGACGATGCCTTCAGGAAGATGAGTTCTACCATCATTTTCTAACAGAAGCAGCCTTTCTCTTCAAGTCAAATCCAAAATTTCTTCCAGTAGACCAGTTCCAGAAAGCCCAGCAGTATTCCTGTTCACTGAATTTGGGAGTAAAAATTATCAATTTTTTTTTTTTTTTTAACATGATGTGGCTGTGGTGTAAATATAAAAGCTACAATGCAATGGACAGCTAAACTTGCTGAAGAATATTTCTGGAGCGGGAGGAAGCTGCATACTTGCCACCCTAGGTCCTGCCATTCTGACAGAAGACTGAAAATCAGAGAGGTACCAGAAAGAAAAACTAGCATGCTCCTGTTGATTAAGTATACAGCTGCCTCATCAGTTAGTGAGCAGTATCTCCCAGAACTGTAACAGACACGGCATATTCAGAAATACAAGGACTCAGCTCTGTCATTTTGAAATCTACCATTTCCACAGTAACAACAAATATGAGATTGACAAGCTTCATGTTTTCACACAGCATCTCAAATTATCTTCCTCAGAAAAAGGCTGTTATTTACTTACAGAAAACCCTCCTATTAGTACAGCATAAAGGAAGCATGGAAATAACCATGTTGCATGTGGTTTATCAGTTATACTTCTGCACTTTGCCACAGTGTCAGCTGTTTCCTTTTGTGCTGGGTTTGAAATCATTATCCAACCCACTCTAACTGCGTGAAGCTTCTCCCTCTTAAGGATAAAGGCCTACCTCAAAACTACAGATCAGTAAGCCTGAATTTCATTGTTAGCAAAATGACAGTCTATAAAAAAAGTCAGATAATGGACAACATTGATGAACACAGTCACTAACCTGCTGGAGCTGAGGTGTCAGTAATGCCTCCCCTACTTGCCTTTATGACAAAATGTAGATGAGGGGAAGGGAAGTGGATGTCATTTACTTGACCTTTAACAAGGTTTTTTCCCAACACTGTCTCCCACAGTATTCTTGTATCCAAGTTACTACATTATGGTCCGGATGGGTGGAGACCCAGGTGGGTAAAGAGCTGAACAGCTCTGCTGAAAAGGGTCTGGGACTCCTCACAGTGAGCGAGCTGAATGCAGCAAAGGTGGTCAGCAGCACCTTGGGCTGTAATAACAGGAGCACAGCCAGTAGGATCAGGCAAGTGACTCTACGCAGCACACTAGATCATTGCTAGAATGCAGCATCCTGGTTTTGGCTCCCCAGTTCAAGGGAGACATTAACAAGCAAGCTCAGCACCAACTGAGAAAGCAAGTAAAAAAGCACCAGAAGACCTGTAGCATACACAGATGTAAGATATCTTCAGAAAAATAACCTAACAGAATCCTACACAATGCCAAACTTTGAACTGGCAGGGACAGCCCAGGAAATTTTGATTTGACAGTTATTTGAAATAATTGGACCAATGCGCAGAGCAGCCAAAAGCCAACATATATGGTTGTCATCAGGAGGGCTACTAGGAACAAAAAGCAGCAAAGCGATGCTCAGTATAAAACCTTAGCATGTAGCTTGGTTTCTGTATCTTCAACAAGTGTGTAAGATTAGTGGACATACAGAGAAGGGCAAATAAGAGGACAGACAGTTGCTTTACAAGAAGAAACCAAAGAGACACAGACTCTTCAGTTTGCATAGAAGATTGTGGGAGAGTCTATGAATGAGGCTTACAAAAACTCTAAAGCTGGTTTAGAGATGAACAAAGAACTCTTATTCACCAAATCCCACAGTACGAGAACTAGGAGGCACCTGATGAAACTAGCTGATTAGTTTAAAACAGATAAAAGAAAGTATTTATTCACACAGTAAGTAATGAACATCTGGAATTTATTATCACCGAAGCAAACGGTATCACCAGGTTCAAAAAAGGACAAAACAGATTCACAGACTACAGGTCCATAAACAGATACTAAAAGGAACAGGCAGAGAGGTACCCTCAGTACAACATCTCTGGTTGCTGGGACAGTGCAAAGAGAAAGGACAGCAAAAAGTGGACTGGATCATAACACTCTTTAGCTCTTCCTAAATAGCATCTCCCTACATTTCCTTGCTGGAAATGGCAGATTAGACAGATCACTGATCTGACTCTGTAGGGCCTTTCTTAGTTCTTCAGTGAAGAGAACCAGATAGATTCGAAAATTCGTACAGCTGCAACACAAGTTTGTACGGTTGTTAAGTTTCTCTCTAAATAACTGGATTCCTCCAATTACCTTTGACCCTCAGATTAGAAGAGTAACAATGTTGTGGAGCTTTTGAAGAAGTATTCATGTCTTTAGTAATTCCCTCTACAAAGATGGCCTTATTAAGAACTAGCATCCATTTCTCTTTATTTAGAAAACATGTGCTTACACAAACGAATTCTTACTCCTAGATCTTCCAAAGAACCCTCCAAAGCGAGGACCAGTTATAGGGGGAAAACTACAGCTAAACAGGAAATGCTTAGAGAATAGTTTATAAGAGACTCATTTCTTGCAATTTTTTTTAAAGTACTGCTTCAGAGTTCTGATAATGAGAAAACAAACAAACCAAAAAACTCTGTGTGTTCTGCTACAGAAGGACATAGTTTAAAAGCGTAATCAGCCCTTGCTTATCCCAATAGAACCAGGAACACTTACTGCAAGACTTCTGAACACCACTACAAAGTAGACCATTAACACCGGTGTAGTACAAGGAAATTGTTTCATTATAGAGCTTTAATACGCAAGAGAGTTAGCTGAGCTGAGACAGAAGCAGGAAAATCAGTATGGTTTTTATGTGAACTTGCGCTTGTTCTTGATAAGAAATTCAAAACTTGTCATCTGGACTTTGTCTTCATTTCTACATTATTTATTACTTTAGCGTTCTTAGAACAACAAATAATATGTTAAGGATCATCAAGTTCCAAGCAAAAAGCTTCTTTAAGAATTATCTAGCTACAATCTTTGGAAAATTTGAAGGAATGTATCATGGTGCGTGCAGACTACCATTAACAGCTCTTCAAATATTGTGTACATGAAACTTAAATCCTAGAGACTTTCTGAATTAATTTCACAAACCGCATTTTTGTTACTTACATTACAAACAAAAATATACACATACAGCAAATATGATAGATAATTCAAGTTCAAATTAAATTCCCAAATTAGACTTGTTTTCAGAGCTAATGAGAAGCCACAGGGACATCTAAAAAGGTATGGGAATTTTGGAGGAAACACCTCCAAAAGGTAAACAGTTTTAAAACCACCAAACCACTAAACTTAGAAGCGTAGAACTCACAAAGGAACGGCAAGTTTTCAGTCACCAAAAAGTATCACGCAGTGACTGAAGTTCACACAACGTGGACGTGCTCAGCTTTTCTGAAATCTGTGTACTTGGTAACACTGGCTATTCTTTTTTTTTTTTTTGGTACGATTTAAGATGCATCAAAGCACTATGCACTTTCAATGGGATTCAAAAACATTCTCTCCAGTCATGAAAGACTCTAAGGAAAAAGCAAAAAAAAAATCCAGAAAGAACTACACCCTAGAGTTTGTATTCAGGTACTTATATTAGGTTAGCCTGACTTGAAAATTCATCAGAACTTTTCTACAAAAATACAACTAGCAAAAGAAATAGTCTGCTCAAATTAAACAGGCAAGTTTTGATTAAAATTACCCTCCTGAGATAGTATTTAAAGACACAAAAAATATTTCAATTTGAAATTCAGTGAAATTGTCTACGAAACTGAGTTACGCAGTGAGAAGAAAGAAGAATCTCCCTTTATTTTTGATAGCCTTTTGTAAAAAAAAAAATCCTTCAGTCCATTTTTAAAAATTTTGAGTACAGAACTACTGTAGGTTTTGGGGTTTTGTTTTTATGCATATTTCATGCATGTTTTACTCAAACATACTTTGTTTTAGGCCTTATTCCATATTGTTAGACATAACTCATTAGCTGTGGATGTAACAATACACATGTACAAAACCAAAGACTCAAATTAACAGCAATTGATTCAACTCTTGCATTCACATGAAAATAAATCGTACCAAAAAAGTTCCTAAGAGCTCATAAAGTATATCATAATGAAATATCAGTATAACGTATATAGTGTACAGTTGTAATTCTTGTGGGTGTTCAGGCTACTCATGCAAAAAATTAGTATACTGACAGATTTGTAACTACAAACGTGGAACATCTCATGAAGGCATACTTACTATTCCAACACTAAGATGATTTCATTTGCTGTTTCATAGACTTCATGGAGATTAACTATGCGAGGATTAGATTTCATTAATTCAAGTACTGCAATTTCATGAAGAATCTCTGCTTTGCAGTCTTGACCTCTTCTTCTTTTCTTTAAAAATTTAGCTGCATACTCTTGGCCTGTAGATTTAGCTATACATTTTCTAACCACAGCACATCTTCCTCTACAAAATAAAAGGGAAAACATTATGACCTAAGACTTTAAAAGTATGAAAATTGCCATTAGAGCAAAAGGCATGGCAAATAAGTGGAAACTAAAAGAGAAAAAAAAAAATTATCTGGGAATGCCACGTTTGGCCTTTTCTTACACCATTCCCCGAACATTCACTCTCAGCCACTGCAGGAAAAGTGATACTAAGCTAGATGAAGCTTTGGCAAGACCCAGTACAATTCCCTTTGTACAGACTAGCTAAGCACTAAATCACAGTATCGGGTTACATGGCCATTCTCACTGTAGGATCACTGAATCATAGAATAACTCCGGCTGGAAGGGACTTGAGGTCTCTAGCACAACCTCCTGCTTAAAGCAGGGCCAGCTACGAGATCCTACCAGGCTGCTCAGGGCTTCGTTCAGGTTGGCAATATTATATTAAAAAAAAAAAATCAACCACATTATAGCACCTACAGGACACAGCAATAAGCAAAACAGCCCCCTGTGAAATACAGAGAATGAATACAGAAAAGCAAGCCTATTTGTATGCTGGGGCGGGAAGGAAGGTCTTCAGTGCAGAAATTTTTTTGAGTCATAAAGAGAATTTCCCTCCACAAATCATGTAGTACTGCTAAGAAAACCCCAGGTATCAGCAAAATGTTTAAAAACATCTTAACAGAAAAACACCCACTACTTAGCATTCTCTTTCTCAATTACAGTTAGACAAAGTATGCTGCTTTATTTCCTAGCCAACTGTTTAGGTATGGAAACAAAAATGTATTTTGGCAAAGAAATGTTTTTAAAAGAAAACCACATACTGTAGTTAAAACACCAAGCTGACCTTTTAAAAAATTAGTGGAAAAAAATGCAGTTTTTTAAGCCAAGTTACAAACTCCTGAAAAAACAAAGTTTTATAGTCACAAGCTTTGCATTCCCAGAAATGCCTAGCTGCATACTTGCAAAGTGTTTTCAAATGATACAAGAAGCATTATTTTAAAAAAAAAACAACTTGAAGGGCTAAAATAAATTGTGTAAAGTTCTAAAAACAGTTATAAAACTGTGTACAAAGAACGAGATCTACACTTATGCCTTCAAAAAACCAATGCCTTTCCATGCATCTTTTTTGTTACCACAGCACACTAAGAACGAACTTAACGAAGAAGCTCAGTATGAGCTATCTGAGCTGCACTTTTTCAACTATATTAGCTTCTTTAGTAGAAAAGACTATGTTGCCCTGCAGACTTTGCCTTTCTTCTGGAGCAAAAAACCCAACACCTAAAAGGTATCTCTCAAAAAAAAAAAAAAAAAAAGAAAAAAAGGCATGCCTGAGGCTCTTTTGAAAAAAGCTACAATTCAGTATTTATTCAAAAAAGGTACAAGCATCTCACGAAAAAAATCAGATTTCCATTTGCAAATAACCATGTGTTAAACACAGATTGTACAAATCTAGCTAAATTATTAAACATGTAAAGTTGACCTTTAATCATACTGCTGTCGCTTATTTAGAAATAAATATAACAAACCAGCTTCTCTGTCATCATTTATTTCAACATCAATTACTTCGAGGATTTCTTTGTCCTTTTTTTAAAGCATTAAATTTAGAAAGGGAAGACTACAAAACTCAAAAGAAAAATTAATTTAGGAGGTGAAAGTTATTGGCAGTCTGATACATGCACACTCTTCATTTTAGCAACTATTTGTAAACCTGAAATGGCCAAGTCCTTTCCCAATTGTTAAACCAGCTTATTGCAGAGCATTTTAAGTTATTGAGCTGAATTTTGTAATATACCGAAGTTTATGATACTCCTCCCACAGCTTACATTCTCACTTTAACATCACATCACCCTGTCCACCACAAAAGTTTCTCTAAAATTAAAAAAGGGGAACTGGTTGAGTTTCATGAGAACAGTAAGATCTTCCTTGATAGTTTTTGCACATCTTCCTTCTAGTTGCTGCGGGTATTACAGATTTGAAGGGTCAGCGGGATCTCTAGGTGGATGATGTAAGAATTTCCACTTGTTTATACTGTATTTGTAGTGTGCCAATTATTAAGACAAAGTTATTAAGACAAAAAATCGTTTAAGAGCAGTGGAATTTCCCCAGAAACGCAAAAAAAAGGCAGATCTGAAGTGTTGCACTGAAGCAAAGTGGTTCCCACTCCTTGTTGCCTGCAAAGTAACTGCTTAACCATCACACTTTACATCCCAGTTCAAGAGATAAAAAACGATTTCAAGTTGTTTTCATATCCCAAGTTATAAACTGCAGAAATTAAACTACTTCAAAAGAAGCCAAGCCATCCACACACTGGGGATAAAACTACTTAACCCACTAAACAGACCTGCCTGCTTCATGAGTCAGTGTCTTAAATACCAAAGGACCTAAGAGATAAGGGTGTGGGAGGAAGAAATGGGACTTGGGAAGCTTAAGCAGAGAAGAACAGAAGAACCATTTACTAAATAACCTGAAGAGGAGGAAGAAAAGCGCAGGTCAAAAGACAAGCATATTAAATCTTTTAGAGAAGCTACAACTAAACGTGGATTTTACATGAGTTATAAAGTGTTGTAAATACTTACAACATTAAATATATATATACACACACACACACTGTCAGGCCAGGAAAAGTCAAAAGACTGCTTCTGTTTCTTTGCATTTTGGCACTTATTTTGTTATGCCTGGTTTTGCATATACAGAAAGTATTAAAGACCGTGTTTTGGAATCCACACAAGATCTATACTTTTGTTTGCTTTAGACATCATGTCACAGGTATGTATAATCTGGAATCCAGCATTTTAAGAGTACTGGAGCTCTAGAGGATGGTGCATATAAACTGCTTCTGTAGAGCCCAGAATTCAAAGCTAGAGATGACAAAGGGGTAAGAAAAAAGGAAAGTTATGAGTTGCAAGTTGCACTCTTATACAAGTGTACTAGATAAAGCAAATGCTAGGGAAAAACAAAACAAAACAAAACAACAACAAAAAAACCCCATGAGAACAATAAAAGCTAAAGAGCTTACAAAAATCACATGCAGAAGAGCATCTTTGTTGACAAAACAAGTGGCAGGTGCAAAGGATTGCTATGTAGCACAGCAAGGCAGAACTGTGAGACTGACCCATGCCACTTCTGTTCAAGGAGCTTGGAAACATGACCATGGCATTATGTTTGCATGGCTTTACACCCAATTCACTGAATATTTTCAAGGTATGAATTAACCCAGTGATTTCAAAAAAAAGCATTAACTCAGATGTCTGAAACACTATCATAAATACCAAGGTTTCCTCCCCGCCCCTTTTGGTTTATTTCCTATTTTACTATTGCAAACATCAGTAAGGGAAGCAGGCTCCAAACTGCTCTGAAATAGCAGGTTGTTAGAAACTTAGACTAACTGCTTGAGGGTGGAAGCGGAGGTCCAGAAAAAAGTCTTTGTTTTCTGGACTTCAAAAAGCTCAACCCAACAACCAGAACAACCAACTCAAAATCCCCATTCTTTGTCTTGCGGTATTACCCTATGTCATCTCTTCTTTAGTTTGTGTACCTGGAATGTGATGTGTGACTAGACAAGGGAAATGGAAGAAAAGGAACATAATGCCTATGAAGACAGGGTAAGTCTCTTTGACATGGAAAAGGCTGGCAACTTATGTCTCACTGCACCTTTTTCTGGTCCCTAGAGAACCTGCAAGAATGGAGGAGGGGGGCATACTTCATTGCCCACCTACTACCATACAAGTTTGCCAGAAAAGGTGTATCATTTCACAAACAATTCTCTTGCAGCAGAAATTCCTCTTATTAAAATAAAATAAACAGGAATAATCTTACCTTCCTAGCTCTTTCGATTCAAGCACATAAAAATCGTGGAAATTGTCTGTCTTGATCTGTGTCTGCAGAGATGTGGCTAACAAGCCAGAAAGGCTTTTATTCTCCAACTTTCTCCTCGACATAGTCAGGAAGAGGTCTCTCTCTTCTACCAGTCACCTGTTAAAGCAAAACAATTAAGAGTTTTAGAAATTCCATAATTACAGCGCAGGAAAGTATACAAATATTAAGAGTTTAGGTCTATCAGACTAGAATAGCCTTAAGTTTGTTCAGTAGTGACCTGAAAATAACACATTTAATCACTGTAAAAATAAAACCTGAAAGGAATACTAATCAAGACATGCTAAGAAAATTAATTGAAAGACTTTATTTAATGATTTTAAGTTGGGGTTTTTCCCCCCACAGCACATCCATAAGATATTAGGGATAAGCTTCAGTTCTCGTAAAAATGCTAATAACTACTTAACTATTAATGATATGTACTTTTCTTTTTTTAGCTTTCTGAAAATAAGCTTTAGCTCTTCTTTGGATTCTGGATAAGTTCCAGCAAATCCCTTAAGTTTACACTTCTAACTGGTATCCCTGGGGGACTTAACCAAAACGCTTTCCTGTTTGTTGTCTGCAAC